ATCCCAAAGACTTGCATAGATAATAATAATCCATCATCTATAGAACGACAGCTGGCAGACTGGATGGTGGGCGGATGCTGGGGAGTAGGGAATGTGGTACGTATTGATGTGTGCACGTAATACAATAACAGGGAATTCGAACAAAAGTTCATAATCTAATCAGTTAATCGGGACCCATTTCGTTCAAGGCTAGCGTATCGTCAAAGAGCCTTTTCCACTAAACAATAGGATTCGCTATCATCAATACGCGACCTGCAGTCTAAGCCGGCAGCCTAACCGGTTATTATAAGTTCCTGTCCGATCAGCATCATCATCGTCGTCATCACGCGCTGTTGTACGGCAGCTCGAGGCCTGTCGCCGACCAGGGCATTCTGGCACTCGGCTACTATTCCCTGCTCTTCTGGTGATCGGTCATTCTTCTATGGAAAGCATTCACATGTGCTTTATATCCCCTTCGACAACATAGAAGCCATCTCAAGCTTTTGCTGAACTTCTTCAAAATCGTCTTTGACAAACGCATAATTCTCAGGCAATGCACTTTTTCTTTGTCGTACAAGATGCTCGAGATTTACTTTTCGAAAAAAATAAAGTATGGCATGAAAGGCAAGAAACTGTTCAAGCGAATGCTTTTTGCAGTTCGAAGTTCCACTAAGACGCCCGCAGTGGTGATTAAGCCAGATCGACTTGTCTTAAATAAAGTTTCGATGACACACGATTTCACCTGAACCACTTTATGCCACATCCATACATATGTTTGTACGTATTAATGATTTTACTTGTATTACTCACAGACTTTACGAATCGCTAGCTATGTTGGCAGCAAGACAAAGCTTCGCAGCACTAGATCTTCATCACGTGCTCCTTTTTCTGCTAAATGCGAAAACTTGAAACAGGGTTTACGTACTTGACGTTCTGTCATTAAAAAAGCAGTTCACATAAATTGCGAATACAGCTTTTAGTGGGTCTCCCAATCAAAACGAGAACAGAACGTTATTCTAGGACTTTTGGCCAAGTTAGAAACATCACTGAGGACCGGCTAGTTGCTAGGCCTCAAGTTTCGAAGTTTACGTCCGGTGTTGTCCTTAGAGATTTCATCAGACAGCTGGCTCCGAGCATGAAATGAAGTCCGTCTGTGCTCGAGTTCGAACCTACACACAACGTGTCCCTAAGATCAGTGAGAAACTATGTAATCCGCTAGTCCATCACGGAAACTGATATTTAATAAGCCTTACACCCTTAAACTAACAAGCGGATATATAATCAACAAAAACTAAGTGCTGTAAAATTCGATAACCTCAATAGATTTCATAGGCTCTGTATTGTTTGTTGTGTTGGGCTAAATCTGTCCATCTTCCGTGGATTGCACAGCATGGAAGTGACACTTAATTACTGATCATTCTAACTGAAATAGTATTCCTTATCTGGAAGTAAGTAGGAATCAAAACAAACTAACCAATACTTATAGCGGATGATTTTTTTCGGGAGAAAACTAAGCCCTACGTTGGGTTTTTACAATTTTTTTTTTAATGTTTTTAACACATCGTCGTCTAGTTTCATAAGAGATTCGCCAAAGCTTCCCACTAATTAGAGATTCTCGTATAAAATGTGTGGCCTTTCTACGCCACGATAGCAAAGGAAGTTAAGAGCCTGTTACGTCAGGGCAGATTAAATGATAGTGAAGCGTTGGACTCTTGTCAATAGCGGCGCAACCTCCAGCATTGTATATCTAGTACCCATCATTTACATCAAGTTGTTAAGAAGGTTGCCATATTTTATATTGGAATTGCAAAACGATGATTGGACCCTATTCGCTGTGCGAACAGGTTGAAACGAGTGAGAGAGAGGAGAGACATCCTCCTAGCGAGTTGATGCTACCTGTCAATTTTTCACTTAAAGATGTTACACTTCGGAGGGCGTTGCGACGTATGTTCTGTTCAGACGTATACGTGTCTGCGTTCGTTATTAACTAAGGTTACTCATCGCTCAGTGGGCAACAACACTATATTGCCATCAGCGAAGTTAGCGTTTATAACCTCCATCTCACCTGGCTAAGGACACAATGCGAATCAGAGTTCAATACGATTGCCCACCCACCCACCCACACATACATACGCACACGAATGATCGCCCTCTTGCGTGGAACAGACAAGGGCTGCTGGAGCGGCCGCCGTGTAATGGATAATATCTATACTGTGAGGACCTAGTTCTGCGCCTAGATAAATCGAGGGTTCTTTTTCTTGGTGTAGTGGCATAATGCGATTTCTTTTCTCTCCCACAATGGCATGCGTCAAAATAACGTGTATCATATATTAGGACTGGGGAAGTTTAATGTAAGAAGCATACAATACATGCTGGCGCTATCGAGCCTTTTATCATAGCTTACAGTATGTCGTTTTTCCTCTGCTTATCACTAGCTATGTAAAAGCTTATCATATTCCTGCTTGAGTCAATCAAAAAAGTCTGCGGCATATCATGTCGTTAACGCTCCCGCCGATACGTACTACCACTGGTTATCTTCTTCTTCGAAGCGAATACCCACAAACAGACGCAAATATAGCGACAGTTTCGGAAATAGAAGACGGCGCGTGGTTACTCACAATTATTATTCTTATTATATATCTGTATACGTCCTATGTGCTAGTGAGTCTCTAAGTATGCGTACATGTCATCTCCGTCTGTAAGCGCTTGCTCGCTATTAAGAACATTTAGCCATTTTTTTTTATCGGGACATCGTTAACCGACGGTACAACGATGCAGTGTCTACCGTACAGTAGTATTATCGTCCGTGTCATGCCAGGAAGAAGGGCATCCATTTGACAGGATGGAAAGGTGTACTGGGATGCCCTCTCTAGGTACGGTTATGGTGTAGGGCGTTTGGCCCGACGAAGACTGCTAGCAGAGGTCCAAGGTCCAAGCAAAAGGAAAAGGAGCGTTGGCCTAGCTTGTCCTCCTACTACAAAAGAGAAGAACAAGAGACAAGAACCATACCGAGGGCGCGCGTCGTCCTAATGTGTCCATACTGGAGAAGGAAAATGAGAGCCTTATTTGGCTAGATATGAGCGAGCACTGGCGATAATGTCAGCTGTAGTTGCTTCTTACGGCCTGACTGCATAACGCTGCTGTGTATACCAACAAAAGTGATAGGTAGCTCAATGGACAGAGTATGCTTGTTCATCTATATTTTATATACATGTTGTGAATAGAGAAACGATATCGAGGTGCATCGGGAAGGCATTACTTCGGTTTACGCTACGGTTACTCTGTTTCTCCTGATGTACATACGAAATACCTTAGTGATACGAGCATGCATATGTAATTAAATTGCCTACGTACACGGGGTTCGAACAATGCTATATGTAAAGTGCATGTTAAATTTTTGTACAGCATCGACCGGCTCCCAAGAATACCTTGACCAACCAGAACTACAATTTGCTACGATCACCCCCATTACATCTTTTTAGTTTCATTATTTTATGTCTATTTTATTAACTAGATGTCAAACATATAACGTTAGGTGTAGGTTACGTAAGGAAACATATCTGCGACTTGCAGCGAGATCCGTTATACTTGTGTAAACCAAATAGCGTGTAATGTCAATAAGACAAATGAAATTATTTTTTATCTGCAGACCTATGTGTGCATAGCCTTAATTTAATCGCCGATGGCCGATTCGATTAAGATTAACAGGCGATTAGGACACGCAAGCGCGCTTTATATGACTTTATGCGGTTTCTTGAATGGACACTCAGGACACACACAGGACAAACACGTCATACAGTTCTAGCGAAAAAAAAACACACTAAAATGGTCCTGGCTATAAAGAAACCCTTTGAAGACCTGGGATCAACTAGCCAGCCAGGCCGACCAAGATCCTATCCATCCACTTAGGCACTGTCAACGCCTTGTTCCCGTCGAAAAGCCTGTAATTGACAATTAACATTTATTCAGCAATATCTAATCCATTTGTACAGAAAGAAATTAAAATTTACTTCATTCGAAGCGTGAATCTTATCGAGAGATCAGTGTGGTTTCGATACATCAGCATCGATACACGATTTTATTAATTTAATTTTTTCAAAAATAATCGTCCTTAATAAATACGGTACGCTCACTTTGTTAAGACGCTTATCTTGTTGCTTTCGCTCTATATGTTCACTTTATGTGTTAAATTCTGCATCACTATATAATGTTCCATTTTTTTCCTGTAAGGTAAATAGCAAGATTTTTTACAACTGGGACAGTTTTCTATGAGGATGGCTCATCAAATTCTTATACGCTGTTAAAAACGGTGATGAGAGCGCGATGCCGTATAATTTGCGTCCTTTTACCGATCATATTGTAACAGCCTTACTGTATACAGCCAATATTGTAAAAAGTCATATTTTAGGCTATTCTACCAGTGGCCCATTTCTCCGTCCTACCATAGTTATGACCTTGTCCGTTTTCTTCATGTATATCTTGCGAGCTTTGAGAGCAGTCGCCAAACTGGTATTTGTTATAATAGCGGTATGTTAGACCAGTCTTTAAATCGCCCAAATTCAATAAGCGCGTATGAAAAATGACATTTGAGTCATTTTTAAAAGTGAACCCTTATTTTCTAGTTACTAATGTTAACTAATCTTTTGCCTTTTATTATTAATAAGTTATCATTATATGTATAATGTAAAAGATGCCGATGTATGCCGATGCCTGTCCAATACCATATGAGAAACTGGTGTAAATTTACTACATCGCTTTTTACACTCAATTTTACATGAATTGATCGCCGTAACATGTGCTGTGTTCCAGCAGATCTATAGGTTCTATAAGTACTAACAACAGTTTCGTAAGAACATAGAACAAGGGCATTACGGCACCTTTCTGTGACAAACGTGCTTTCTCTATGAGTAATGTGTTTTATTTAAAACACGTCTAACCATTACCAATTTACAGATCCCTATCCGAGACAAGAGTCGTGCTCCTTCAGACTGTCATAACCGTTAAAATGTAATGAAATGGTATAAACATAAAATCATGTGTCTTAATTTATTATAATTTATATACTTTATGTAGGTAATCGTTATTATTAGTTCTGTTTTATAGCGTCCAGGTTAATTACGTGGATTTACATAGGAAATACGGAGGCGAAATTTTCGTTCACTATTACGATCTTCACTATAGGCTGTAGCTACACCTCTGCCAAAAGATCTTGTCGTTTCAACCTTAAAATTACTTCAATATGTCAACTTAGCCAGTATGTTTACTTATTAAAAAGAATCTTTATTTAACCTATTATTTAATTTAGATCTATAACCGCACCCCTTGACGCCTGCGGTACCTGTAGGCTCGAGTTTATCCGGTACGTAATACTGAACGCCTGTCTTACCAAAATTTCTGGATTGGTCCTTCCCAGGTTGTTCACACGAACTAATTTATGTCTCGTCCATTAACAACAAAACGTAGTAGAAACCCTTTGGTCCTGCTTTTTTTTTGTACTTTTGCAAACATCAATAAGGCATCAGAATAATTAAACGTTACCATTTAACTGAACCAATAATACGCAGTCCTCGAAATGATTGATCCGAGGAATAGCAAGTAGAATCTTAGAGCCTATGCTTAGTGCATTCCCACGTTGAATCACAGAATTTGGAGCCGCTTTAATAAAAATATTTGGTTCTATAATTGATTAATAAACTCAAGCTATAAATACGTACACGACATGAATAGTGCCAGACAAGTAAAAGTTTCGTTAGGGCTCGTTACGTTCTCCGCTGGACAGCTATGATGGGTCGGCATAGATGCGTGTATATTCAACGAACACGTAATTACTGTCGACCAGTTAATGTTAACCAATCGAGACAGATTCCTTGCACTTTTTTCCCTGCACAAATAGCCATGAGGCTCAAATCACCCTATCAGAAAAAATAGTACAACAAGTAACAGATTTGTCTGGGAATGCAAGCCTTCTATGACAAAAGCCGTCTGCAAGAGCTAGTCTTCATTCTGTCTAGAGTATATTTTGGAAGTTAAACGCTTGCAGTCTGCATTCGGAGTCTTTCACTTTAGATGTTCAACTGGCGCCATCAAGCCCACCCGTAGTTGCCGTATGTGGGGTTACGTGGGGTGAGAATGACAACCAACAAAAGGTGTAAATAAGGTAAGTACGTCTCACAATGTCGGAATCCACTTTGTGCAGCTGCGTCGAAGCGAAACGTAGACACGTTGGCTGGTATTTCCTTTGGGAGCGGTTTGCGGGTTTCGCGTGGTCCCATCCTTTGTAAAAATGCGAAATCTTTTGGGTCAAGAGAACAACTTTAAACGGATTGCCCCACTTTCTCAAGCACACGGCAAAGCGAGCACGTACAAACAAACAGGCCACGTTCGCTGTACGATACGGAATTGCTTACACTAGCAACAACACTAGCTCGTGAAGGCTCGTGAAAAGGCGCGCATCCTAACGTCCGGTGGTCGACTGGCTTATCACTGAAGCCATAGAGCGAAATGGGGCGTCTACACTTGACGACGCCGGAGTGCTAAATAGAGCGAAGATGCGGAGAAACTGCGCGTATCTATCTGCGATAGACGGTGAAGGGATCGAAGGGATAGCACCGTACGCCACCTGTTTGCGTTTATAGCTAGGTACGCGTTCGAGATAAGGGCATGCGTCTGCGTTTTCGAAACGCAACAGTCAAATCACCGGCTCAGTAGGATGATCTCTATTTTTTCATTTTTCGTTTGAATGTCACGATAGGACCTAAACGAGGAGCACATTCGTTGAGTACAAGATTGAATCCGCAGAAGATGGCCTAGGATGGGTTCGCAACCGAGTCCTACGGAAAAAGTATATCAGTTAGTCTTCCAATTTAGTCCTTACCTCTACTTAGATTATATGCAATAATGTTATAATATAACATTCTTGCTATATATATATATATATATAAGATTCATCGTGATAACATTATTCATACCGTTTTCCTAATATTGAGGCCGAGTGACTGTGTACATTCAACATATGTGGTAATGAACTGCAGCGCAGATCGGCTTACTTTCAGGGTCTGTGAACATCCCGCCTGAAATATTTTTTTTTGCATATACTACGCAGACGCTCTGGTACATAATTATCCTATTAGTTTCTGCAATTGATACTAATCTCTCTGGTCTGAAGTTGATTTTATGCACATGCCCTATTTATCTGGAGGGGGCTGCCTCTTGCGCTGATATCCTTTGCCTATCTTGTGAACTGAAACGATTATACTATTATAAATTTTAATTCAAATGCCCTTTTCGCCTATGATAACACAACAAAATAAGGTTATATCCATTAGCTTCGCACGCTGGATCGTTTGCGTCAAAATCGTCATTAGCGCTTGCTACAGCATCGAGAGGAAACGTGATTACGAATTCTTCATTTAGATTAAATAATATGGTACGTTTACGGATGAAGATAAACATAGAACTTTCGATAACCTATTGCAGTTACCTCGCGGCAATTTTTCTTTATTCTAGTTCACAGCCTTATTATTAAAAATGCTGTTCTTCTCAGTGAGCTTGATTCGTAGCGTGCGATCTTTCTGCTTGACAAAGTCAAGATATTGCTGGTTAAACTTGTCGATGAAAGGGACGGAAGTCACTGCTTTAAGCCCCATGATCGGCATCACTGTATATTTAATGAATTCCAAAAAAAAGTTCAGCATATAGTATCAGCAATAGGGTGCAATTTTGTTGCGGACGGTCTGTACAATCCGTTGGCTTGAACGTCAAAGCGGAACGATCACAATTAAAATGAATATTGAAAAAACACTCGTAAGAAACGGCACATTAGGAAAATTAAAGACAATAATAGTCTGCGTCAGTTTTCAATTGTTAATGTAAATTGTTTTATAGGTTTGTTGGAAAAACTCCAGCCACAGTGGTTACAACAAAGATCAACAATGGCTAGATTTTCTAGCGCGGACAATACCGTAGAAGACTTACCCACAACACTGATCACTAAGCGCGTTAAAAATAGTAAAATACGTAACATATAATAACTATTTATTAGCTGTACATATGTACACACACAAGTGAAACAAAAGTTTCCTGACTCTATATATATACGAAACAAATTGGGAAACATTGGAGAGGTGTTTGTCGTAACGGGCTTGCATGGGTCGTGGTACTAGCCAATCCAATTGTTCGTCTAAGAAAACAACAGACTCGTCTTGACGTCGTTTTCAGAGCTTGAACGAAGGTGAGCCATTATCTAATCATAACGCCCTGGATGCATCCTCACCAACGTTATAAACATCTTGAGTCAACCCAGATCAACAGTCTACTGTGTTCGCGGTCGAAAAGCACACGGCAAAGGAAAAATGGTGAAGATTCAATAATATGATAGTTCTCGTCCGAAAGGATAATTGGAAAAACGTTTCCGTTTTAACTAAAAAAAAATAAGTGAAGCCATTTGATATGAGTTGATGTGTGATATCGCGGATTGTCTGCGGAAACCTCAGGTATCTGTCATGTATGGTAAAAGTCAGACAGATGCCCTCTGAAGACAATAAAGCTAGTAGATTTGACCGGTTCTGAGCGCTTCAAGAACGAAGAGGCAGGTTGTGTTCGAGGCTTCTCCGTCGGTAGATCCTCGATGCAAAAATGGACGGTGGAAATGATCGTCAGCTTGTTCACAATCGAATAAATGTGCCTATTGTGGATAGTGGTAAAGAGAGCTAAAGTTTCTATACATCTTTCAATGGAATCGCTACTGCAGCATCTTACACAGGTCGATTAATGCAGTATCGGCTGCTTAGGAACGCAAACTCTTTATAGGATGAGCATATATCGATACAACCTTCAAAGTTAAACATCAGAAAAAGACTTTAATATAGATACCTTGTATATATATATATATAGCCCAACATACCGTATAGTTCGACTGTAGACTTGCGCGTTAAGGGTTGTGGTTTTTTTGAATGCCTACATCATTACTATTTCGTTGTCGCTACTTTTTAGTAACTCCGCTTCCATAATTCACTCAGTTTACGCGGATCCAATCCCGCTTTCCCATTAAAATCTCTCGATAATAATGCTGCCATGTTATAATTATCTCATCAGCTTGTTCTAATATTTGATTTATGCTACACACGAGTTTACATAAACTACGGCTTAATTGCGGATAGATACTTCTATATGAATCCGGTTGCAGTTCATTGATTATTACGTTGCACCCCCCTAATCACAGTGGCCATATTTCTACGATCGAGTACATTCCGTAGTTTGCACAAACGAGCCCATTGCCTAGTACATCTATTCTATATCCTGTTCCTGCAGCGACTAATTGTCCTGCCGGAATAAATGTCCCAATAAGTTGATTACTCTGTTGCAGTATACTTATCAATACTATGCATGTAACCTGCTGCTTGCAGAAGCTGAGCTTGATTTTGAAATCACTAATATAAACCGAACAAATTTTATCTTATTTAGCTTCAAAAATAGAGTGCACACGGCGCCAGGTTGATGCCTTTTCTCATTCCTGTTTACAGGCTTTCCTCATCCCTCACTGGAACGTGATTCCAATCTCAGTATCCCCTACACTCGAGTTTTCCGTCCAGTATTGCCGTTAATCATTGCATGAGACGGCTCGTTCCCACCACGAAACAGAGTCTTTCTATGCCCGGGTTCTAACCTAGACCACAGCGCGTCCTTAAGACTTGGATGCAAACACATTACCCACTATTATACCAATAGCAATACCCTACTGCACATACGCCGTTTCAATTAATCATATTACCCGCAAGAAATTATTGATACAATTGAGACGTATTATTCCTCATTGTAATGGTGTTATTTTATCGAATCACTTAATCATTAAACCAAAGCGGTGTTACGTGTTCTAGGAGAGTAAGGAATAATTCCCAGCAAGACGTCAAACGGCAAAATCCAAGGACGAACCTAAATAATTCACAGTTCATTAACTCTGAACCGTTTTCCATCAAACAATAACATGGCCAAAACATAGAGAATAAAATCCTGCGAATACGGTGTTGCTTCCATTTTAACGAACGACTTTTGATAAATTCGTGAAGAGACATTGAGAAAACTGCAAAAAACGACGCATTAAAATTACGCCTTAGGAGAAAAGGATTTTCCTCTCGAAGAAAAAGTATCCATTCATGTAATGCGCACATTTTCCGAAAATAAAACTCAGTTGAGGCTAAGTGGCCTATTCAACGAGGTCAGACAGATTAGCTGGACTTGCAGGCTTTATGTTAGATTAGGGCCTGCTGTACACTATACACCAATAGTTATCTCATCGCAGGTACACGTTGTTACAATTATATTGATCTGTTTGAATTTGATTCGTGTTATACGTAGCTAAATATAAGCTATGGGTTGATTGCGGGCCTATAGCTATGATATCTTAGCTTTTAGCATATCTCTAGACAATGATTATGGAGCTGTATAAGTACCCTCTTTTCTGAGTGTATGAGGAATGGGGACCCGTATCGAAATCGAGTGCGGTATATACTAGTATAGACATTACGGCTAGGTTATTGATCCTATTAAAGCTTTTCTTTCTTTTTATTACTTTCTTTCTCATAATAACAAATTGCATATATTAACCTAAGTGAAAATATAATGAACATCTAGTAGGTTCATCTAGTTCCTAGGACGTCATCAGGTTTTTTAATATGTTTATTTTTTTTTGTTTGTTAATAAATGGTTAATGTGTATATATATATATATATACTGTATCCAGAAAAGATATATATGAATAAATATATAATATGTAACGTTAACTCTGTTTCCGAAACTCTACCTTCGAAATAATTAAAAAAAATAGTGATAAAAATGTACATAAAATTCCTTCATATTTTAGCATGTTTTTGGAATCATGAGATACTTTTTGTACAAGTTACAAGATATATACGAGGTACGAGACACAAGTTTGCTTAAGAAAGCAGTTAATTTTCGTCTTATTGTTGCATAGGTAAGCCACGAACATACGAAAATACGACCCACAAACTTTTTACTACTTTCTACCTAAACAGGTGACATAGCATGTATTGCATTCTTATTTAGCTTGTCGACCCAGCCTTTTTGTTGAGGTCAAAAAAAGGAACCCTTAAACAACCATTACCTGAGCTGCTCAATCTTAGGATATTTATTTCCATTTGGAAAACGCAAATTTTGGATTGAGCTCATCGAAAGCTTCCGATAGAAATTACGAAATAGGCTTTTATATAGACTTCTAGGTAAAGCAAAATCGTCCGTTCAAGGACCACCCGTTTGGTTTTGGGTCCTCTTTTGACGCTGGACTATTTATTTTAGCTGTATAAAAGAATGTATTGCCTTCGTACTTAGCCCGTCAGTATCTTTGGTATGATTGGTGTGGAACGAGTCACCTCTAACAAAATGATACTTAATTTTTCAGGGACTATTTTTAATACAATTTATTACGCTAAAATGTATGCTAGATCAGCCGCTTTTACCTTTCTATTGGCACTTATCAGAAGTTCGCTCAAAAAACTTCTTGGAACAGGTTTCTGCCCCCGTTACTTTATGGTCGAAACAGACCCAACAACGGGTTTTTTTCTCTTTTCACTGCGAAGTGTCAATTTTAAGTAAAGGAGAATATGCTGTATTTCTATTTATTTATTTTATTCATTACCTATTGCTCGGCATCAAAAATGGGCACATTATGTAAGACTTTATTTCTTTTAATTAATTTTTGGCATTCTTTTCCAAAAAAAAGCAGCTGTCATTAAAATAAATATTTTTTTATTAACAGTCACTAGAAAATCGCTCAAAACCATTCTATGTTCCGTATTTGAACATTACCCTTTTTTCCAACTTTTTTTCCCAGTAGACTTATGAAATATCATTGTGACAGTATACCATCGTTTAGCAACGTGCTCCATGGCCACGCACTCAGAAAAATGCGCACCAGCCATTCAGATCACGGTGCCCTTTTCAAAATCATGCTATATCACACTTTCATTCTAATGTTACATAAATAAACCGATAAGATTTTTAGTCTTCTTCACGAGAAAATGTCCGCCGCCTCAATTTTCTAATTTAGAATGCTCGCTCTGAAACTGATGTCGTGTCTTCTTGTTATGTCACTGTCGTCACACAGTGAAAAGAGGTATAGAGACTTGCTTAGCTCATGTGGAGCTTTGGGAAGTATGAAAAAATCACCCCTACCATTTCTAAACAAAAATTTCCAGTTGGTGCCGAACATTTGGATACAGGAATATGCATAAAATTTCCAAAGAACACGGCGGAAGCTGTCAGTTGGTGCCCCCCAAAAATACCCTCTCTACGTATACCTCTACGCATCTAACGGCCGTTTTAAAAAAAGAATTTCACTAAAGTATAGATGACATCAGCTCGCTTAACATTTCCATGCACATGTATAAAAAAAGTTCTTATAAAAACCCTAAAGAAAAAATTTTAAAAACTTATACCATGGTCGAACAGATACCACCACCGATAAAAGGATTTGACCCGCGTTGCATCCAGCTAAATACAATTTCTAATTCGATCGCAGATATATTCCCTGATAGTTATTTTGACATAACTTGTTTGAGAGCGAGTTCTGTTACCTAATCCCTCTGTTTCCTGAATTCCCTTTTCGGCATTTCTGAATTCAGTAAATCTGTTCGTAACATTCATCTTGTCACACTTCGATATGTTCCCCTGGAACGTTTTGCCACCACACGGCATTTATCTCATGTACCTGGTCTTTACTTGACCTTTTTCACCATCTAATAAACTTCATTTGTTAATGTTGCAATCAGCGTAGCGTCCACCAGATTATACATCAACGACTACCCTGCGTCACCAAGCCAGTTCCACCTTTGGAGTTACGTTATTGGCCTGCTCTAGCAGGAACGAAATTGGTTTTGAGTTTTGCGTCCGGTATCGCCGTTAGATCAAACGGCAGCGCGAGTCTTTCTATCCATGTCCGGGTTCGAGCCCAGGTGGTCCCTAAAGTTTGCAGTCAAATACGTGACCCACTAAGCTATCACAACGACAGAACCAGCGAAGCATAAACTCTACTTCGATTACTTTTGTAGTAATTGCGTTACGTCTTTTTTTCAGATCCTGCATCACCGAATCGGAGTGTTTCGTTATAGTAAATCTATTTGTTTGATTCGGTCAATTTGTTAGCGACAAACCCTCTCGTTCTTCTGTTCCGACTATAGCTATCATGTCAATGTGCTTTAATATTTGATTCTTGTTATACTCAGCTTGAGCCCTGCCATATTAATTCACTCATCTTGTAGCTATCCGAGAGCAGTAATCGTATTCCATTATCTTTACTCGCATTATTTTCGAGCACTTACTCCATAACCCTGGTTTAATAATTAAGTTTTTCACTAAAGGCCCCTAATTTAATCGATTCGTGTCCGTTTTGGTATAGGCTATAGGTTTCTGGCCTCCTAAGTAAACGTCATATGAATGAACTTTTTGGAGTCGTCGGCGATTTAACAAGACGTTTCGACGGAATACGTAACATTAGCGCTCCGAAGTATATCCGACAAAAAGGAAACGTATGCAAATTGGACTTGTCAACATTTATTATGTAAATCGAACAGTTCTGTTTCAACCTACTCAAAAGTAACTTTATATTCACCTTTTAACTTGGATGGATGGGTGCCTTTGTGGCTGAAATCCCGGACGCAGGAAATATTCTATCGTATCTTCGTAAGGATCCTATATTTAATTACAGGTTATTTTACAGATGAAACGATCAACTTACAGATTATTTGTGCAATTGAAGTAATGTTTTCAAAGTTTGTTCTCTAATAGCGAAGTTTTCAAGGTTTCTTATTTTGAAATCGACTTGTATTACCCTTTCAAACGTACCGTTCTCTTATCGCTTTATTCATTACTGTTTTTCAACCCTAAATATACCAATAGAGCACTACTATCCAGTGAGATAGAAAAACGTACAGGCAATAACATTCCTCTGAGGGTAGCGTTAGCGAACCCTAGAACAATTTGCGTCAGGT